TCTAATCATCCTAAAATATTAAATCATTTTAAATTAGTTAAAATGAAAAAAAAAACATGAATTTTTAAAATAATCCAAAAATGATTATATATGACACATTTAAAACATGGTTTTTTGGAAAAAAAAAAAGTAAAATGTAACTTTTTTTATTTCTAAAATGAAAAATGTGTTTTTTTTTGTTAGAATATCATTATAAAATTTGAAATTTGAAATTTAAACAAAATTGTTTACATTTTGAAAAAAAAGTTGAGGTGATAGTTGGGATTATTAAAAGAAGAACAAGTATAGTTCAGATTATTTACAGAATATGCTTAGTTTCTATTTAAACAATTAAACTTGACCAGTTATAACAGGTAATAACTGGTCATGGACTATTCTTGGAGGACGGTCCATATAGTTGGGATTGTACAAAAATAATCAAAAGTTGGGATTATTGTTAGCGGATTGACAATAGTTGAGATTATTATTTTCAATTTTTCATTTTATATATTATCAAATGTAACTCCTAAAATCATGTATAAATGTAACTCACACATATAGAAATGTAAACCGCACATATGAAAATGTAATCTCATGTTTTGTAAAATGTAAATAAAAATAAACAAACTCAATGCCTTAAAAAAACACAAAAAAACGTATAAATGAGATAAAATAAATATTATATAAAGTGTATGAATGTGAAAACATATACTACACAAAATTTACCCAATACAAACATCAAATTAAAAAAAAATCTAAAATAACTAGAGTTATTATGACTAAAGTTGCTATCATAGTCACTACATTTAAGAGATCATATTTCTATAAATAACCTTTACTTTATTTATAAATATGTGATTAATTATTTGGTTTATGTACTTGTGTTTCACTTTATTATATTATATGTCATCTATATAGACTTATGATTAATATTTGTGCAGATGTGTAAAGGTTGGGAAAGTTTTTGCGGGACAAGGGAGTGTTGTAAACCTTGTTTTCAGCTTATTAACTCGACAATGAGTTTTTTTTATCAAAACTCTTAACTTTTGATTCCACATATTAAATTGTGTAATATCGGAGTAAACAAAATCAGTAAGATTGAAGTTGTTTTTCTGTTTGACTTTCCTAAAGAAGGTTACATGTTAGCCACAATTTTGTTCATATGTAAAAATAGTCACTATTTTAAGATGTAGTCATGCTTAAGAAACAACACCTTTTAATTTCTTTAATTCTTAGAATTATTTTATTATATAAATAAAGATATCTTTTTAAACTCTACGGAGTAATTTTTAACATTTTCTAACCGTTAAGTTTTTTTATTAGTCCAGGTAACAACATCAACATAGGTCTTACAGGGATCCCATCAGAAGACCTAACATGATTGTATCGTGTAGTCTGTCTATAGTGTGGTTCACGTAAGAATGATATTTCCAGTGCGAATGTGAGAAAATGCACATTTAATTCTTTATCTTTCATTTTTATGCTTGAAATCGTGAAAATTTAGTGTCGGCAAAATATTTGTAAAGTTATTTATAAAATTGGCATTAGATATTAATCACTTTGTCTCAATTTGATAGTCCTAAACTTTTTGGCTTTTAAATATTAGGAAAGTGTGAATATGTGATAGAATGACTTGTACAACATTATTTTGTCATATGGTTCCCTCCTTTACGTTTATTATTCATAAAAAGAAGTATATATGATAATCTACTTTTATCTCCTTATCAAAAGAGGAAAAAAGTCTTTCTTTTGCGACAATTTAAATAACAAATGTATGATCATCATTTGGAGAAGGAATGTCTTCTCGTAAGATGTCACATACTTGATTAAATTAAACCTATTATAGCTTTTTTTAACAGTTAACCCTACTGTAGCTTATGAATCAATTATTCAATTACAGTTGATAAAATTAAGGCTAATATTCATATTTTGGAAACTAACAACTCTCTTTTAAAAACACAAACAAATATAGCATTTTTCTTTGTAATTTTACTAAAACCCGGTGCATAGGTAATTTTAAATATATCATGTTCCTTTGAGGTAATATATCATGTTCCTTTGAGGTAACTAGCATATAATTTATTTATTTATTTTGAAAATGCTAGCATATAGTTTAGGAAAAATTGATAGTAATAATTTTAACTATTGGCGGTCCGCTCATAATCATTCCAACTATCGATTATTTCAGAATAATCCCAACTTTAGGGACATTCCGCCAATAATGGTCCGACATGACCGGCTATAAATAAATTTTTATAGTTTCTAAAGTGGATGAGAAGAGATATAGCAAGTAATCTCTATAAATAATCCTAACTTTTAATTTTTACGCTTAATTTCTATTTGAAATTCACCTGTAATCTGATCATGGACCATTATTGGCAGGCGTTTCATATAGTTGGGATTATACCAAAATAATCATTAGTTGAGATTATTATTAGCGGACCGGCAAGTTGAGATTATTATTTTCAATTTTTCCTATAATTTATTAAAATGTAATTGCATTTTTTCAACTTGGGTGTTGCTTCGTGTGGTCAGCGGTCATTATACTTCTCACAAGTCAAGAGGGCACGATGACATTGATCCTCCGCCCCATTGGCCTATTCTTATAGTTTTCTGGCCTCCGTTATAAACCAAGCGGATGGGACTTGTTAACTGAATCCAAAACTAGATTTTTAAGTACAACCTATGAACCTATTAGGTAAAAAACAAATCACCTCAAATTTAATTTAATAAACATAAAGATGCAAACATATATGATGAATTGAGGTTCTGGTTTTGAAAGATTAAAATAATGTAAACTCAAATGATGAAATCAAATGAGCACAATAGATATCATAATCGTATATATGATTAAACACACACAATACGAAGAACGATAAGAAAATACACACAGGTTTGGTAACCCAGTTCGTCAAGAATGACCACGTCTGGGGGCGTTACCAAGTTGGGATGTTACTATTATTTTCTGATAATGATTACAAGGAGAGAGCGTGCATTTATAGAGAGCAGAACCTAACTCCAACCATACAAGGACGCGTGACCCATATATAAAAGGACCTTACAGTCTCTAATACCTTACAATTACGTCATCTGCTTCTTCAACCCAACAATGTCTTCTCTTCACCTCAGAGTATATTCATTTTTTGGTATATATCATCTTCATCATATATTCTAGATTCTTTTTGGAGAAGGATTTGTTCCAATCTGCGCCATTCAAAAACCAATCATTTCCACTACATTCCATTTACTTTTTCTCTCACAAGACAAAGAGAAAATAAAATTAAAGTTCTTGAGAACAGAATACTAAGAGAGAGGGAAAAAACTGAAAAGGGCAGTTGAATAATGGGAAAAAGGAAAGGGAAAAAGGAAACCCCGGATAAAAAAGCACGGCAGTGAATGATTGTGGTTCCTGTGGTCTCTGCAGCCTGATCCATGGCACCCATGGCAGCTAGCCATTTAATACAGAGAGAGCTTATAGAGTGAGCGTATGAATGCATATAAATGGGGAAATGGGGGGGTGATAAGAAAGTTTTAATTTAACATTACTCTTAACAGAACATAGGAAAGGGTAACAAAGAGAGAAGAGAGTGTGGATGATAAGCTTGTCTCAAATTCCAATGTAAAATTAATGGGAGTTGTTGACAATAAGGAGAGAATGAGAGACTTACTAATGTACAATTGCTTCCACCCAAATCAATGAGTCGTAATTATCTGGTAAATCATTCAGGTTGAATGCCACCGGCCGCATTCCATCTACCATCAATGAATACTCTTGATGGTAATCTTTCCCCTTCGAACAGGCTTTGTTCTGTGACTTTTCACCAAAACTAGCATTCTTTACAGCCTCGTTGGGGTGTGGAGAGTGGGTCCCTTGTTAGCTTGACCTCTCTCCCGAACTAGACTTCTTCCGAGCATAGTCTTCAGACCCAGTTGCCAGTCCGAACTGAAACTTTCTCCAGTTGAAAAGCTCGGCTGTATTAAGCCTCGACTTGGGGGATGTCCCACATGATTCACGAAAGCCTAAGGTTGTTCGAGAGAGTGATCTAACCGAGATAATAGCCTGGAATCTGAATACATTGCCAGCAATGAGAATTTGCAGACCAAGATTGTTCGAGAGAGTGGTTTGACCGAGATAAACGCTTGGATTCTGCGTACATTGCTAGAAATAAGAATGTGCAGAAACCTACCAAAAAAGGTTGCTGCAATTAGAATCTCAAATTAGTAAAAGCATTAGACCTGGGGACTAATTATTACTAATGTTCAACTCACATATACTATGAGAGAGATATGATTATTATCATTCTATTTATGTGCAAGTCCAAATTTGCTAACTATTACTCAGTACATTTCTGCTGCATCCACATTATTGTAAAAATCTGTGCTATAGACACCAAACCTCTACGACCCTAAGTCCCTAACACCCTTAACTTTGTACAAGACAATCATTTGTAACTTTGTATTTTTTGTTTCATGTAATTTAACATAGAAACAATTAATAAAGAAAAACAGAAAAAATCTAACTGAAAAAGAAAGAATCCATCTGTACGTACAGAAATTAAAAATGTATGCAATGTATTTTATATGTATATGTATTAGCAGGCACTGTAGGTTACTAATTACGGAGTACTACATCTATAAATATATACTTTGTATTACATCTACTTATTGTGTGTATATATGTGTGTGTGTGTGTGTGTGTGCTCAAATTGTATTATATATCACTCGTAGTAAATATTAGCATATCCAAATAATCAAATTGCTTAAAGACCCTATAGTAATAACAGTGAATAGGCTAAACTATTAGCACGAGTATTCACTGAAAAACAAACAAGGAACATGATATGTTTCAACTACAGAGGATATGCTCCTACCTTCAAACTATGCTTCCCTCTAATCCATTCACTCCACTAGCCTGCTAAGTGTTTATATGTTTATATAATGGATATTGTAATGTGTACGCATTTGTGAGTGAGATCAAAATTAATAGATAGACACACATATATATACATTATAATATTAATTCTTCAAATAGTTTCTTAACAAAATGGGATTCAAAACTGAATTCAGGTACAGATACAACCAATGTCATTTCAATAAAGTGATAAACTAAATCATTTGAGGCAGCACAGGTCTAGTAAGCCGTTCAAAATTGCATTCCTCAGCCATCAGGCCATATTCCATCCACCACCATCGCATCATCGTCCTGATGATCTTGCTTCTCTACTACATTCTTCAGGAAACAAACTACATCCAAGGGTAGCAGCAATGGCTCATTAAGCATGCACGTAACCCACCACTGCATCATAGGCAGTTTTAAACGTGCCAAGCCATATACGGAAGCCACAATTGGGCTCCGATCCTGTATTTCGAGCACCCAGTTTCTAACGGTTCTTTGGCGGACTCCTTTGTAATGCAACAGGCACTTTAGAACCACTGTTTCCCCTACTGTGCCCTTACTGGTGGTGCCACTTATTAGGCAGCACATAGTGGTGGTTTTTGAGGTCTCTTTATGGTGACCTGAAAAACACATTTGTAATGCAACAACCATTTTTGAACCACCCTTTGCTCTACTGTGTCCCTTACCGGTGGTGCCTTTTATTAGGCAGCACATAGTGGTGGTTTTTGAGGTCTCTTTATCGTTCTTTGAAAGACACCTTTGTAATGCAACAACCATTTTCGAACCACCATTTCCTCTAGTGAAATTTGCTGGTCTGGTCTGATCTGGTCTGGACTTGAATTTCATCCGGATGAAAAGCTAGATGAAAGGAGGCAGACGACCTAGTGGAATAAAGTTATCTCCAGGACTGGAGTTCCTCAATTCTAAAAATGACAGTGCTCACTCTAAGAAGAAGAAGAATGTTGTGAGCAAGAAATATTCACATGGATAAAGTGAACAGAAGAAAGCAATCGAAAGAAGAGGCGTTTAATTCAGTTTGCCAAAACATCCGACTCAAATGAGGAGAAGAAGAAGAAAAAAAAAGCTGTCTTATGAAAATCAAATTCAACCTCACAGAACAGCAAGAAATATTCAAAGCGATATGAGTGAACAGAAGGAAGAATCACACACCACCTACAGAGCAGAGGGAGGGGTTGGAGAAGAGAAGAGCTCAAAACCTGACTGATCGCTGAGGGACTGCGCTGTTTATATAGATCAGTATACATCGCTGTTACGTTCAACTGTAGCGCTAATTTGCATAATCTCCTTGAGATTCCTGTAATCCAATTCATATTATAGGGATATTGTTGATTGATTGCAATTACCCGCTTACCCCGTAATCCGTATGATGTACAGCGAGCTATTCACGGTGTTCTTGCTTCGCGATTTTTCAAAACCATATGGATTGTGTGGACTTAAGATGAGTCATGAGTTCGGTACAAGAGGTTTGATTAATGAAATGCGTTAATACACCACTTGAAAGATGAGTTGACTACAATAAGGGATTTAATATACGTAGTATTTTTAATTTAAAAAATATATATTTAATTTCATGAAACTAAAAAACTTTTGCAACAAAAACTCTTCAAAAACTAGCAATGTCATTAATAATACATTAAATAAATTAAGATCAATATTATTTTAGGTATTTATTTGATCGATAACTCCAATTATTCGAGTCGTATATCGACACATCTTATCTTTTATGTCCCTTATTGATAGTGGTCGTGTCTTAGAGGGTTCTGAATTGATAAAACTTCAAAAACAATATTAGAGTTGTTCTTGGTGAGTACAAAATGTACAGATACAACTGTGCGTTGACTTTTTCTAAATGAGTTATTTGTATACACAACTAGAGGTGTACACAAAAAGTGTATTTTTTTGTATCTCTAATTTTTAAAAATAGTACTCAAATAAAACATATTCATAAAAACATGACTTGAAATTACTTCCGTATAACATCGAGTGGTTAGTTATACCGTGGAAGCAGCACACCATGAGCACTAAACTCTCGCACCTAAAACACATGTGAACAGTAACAACCCGTATGAATATTAATTTTATTTTTTGTTTCAGTAGCAGGGTAGCGTGACTCGCATTTAAGGAAATGTAACTCACGTTGATGAAAAATATAATTACACGCAAGTCGAAATATAAGTTGTCTACTACGGAGTATAAGAAGTAAAAATATAATGAAAACATGGAGTCTAATTGTCCAATTAATTTATCTAAAAAGTTAATATGTTTTGTTTATTATATCGGGGCTATATAAAGTGATACTCCGTATATTTTAAGAAAATCATACTCTCACACCTAAAGCCCGGTAATTTTTTTCCGGTAACAGGAGTTTATTTTGTGGTGTAACTGCTTTATGATAAATGTAAGGCATGTTGATGGTAAATGTGACTCGCGTGCATCCAAGTATAACTTGCTAAGGTAATTACAAATGTAAATTGTTGAGAAAAGTCCAAATACAACTCACACACTTGAATATATAAATCGCACATAAGAAGATGTAACCCGTGCATATGAAGATGTAAATCATGCATAAGAATATGTGATGCTATGTAGGAAAATGATACTAATAATCTCAACTATCGGTAGTCCGCTTATAATAATCCTAATAAACTATAGATTATTTCATAATAATCCCAACTTTAAGGACCTTACGCCAATAATGGTCCAACATAATCGGCTAATCTCACTAAATTAAACAAAGAAATATCATATTGTAGTAATTCGAACTATGATCTGTCGACTTCTTTTGGACTCAAAAAAAAATTAAAATAAAATTTTCATAGATAAATAAAAAGAGTAAAAAAGATTTAAAAAATATATTTAATTAACCATTTTAGATACTTCGTGGAACTAAAGAATATAAAATATATAATTATAGAATATGAGAGAAATTATATAAATTTCACAATTTAAAAATTCATAACATGTAAGATATTATAAACATATAAAAAATCTAAAATATATAAAGAAGGAGAGTAAAAAGGTCAACATATATAAAACCTTGAAGGAAAAGTAACTTTCAAATTATGTACAAATTCAAATTAAGAAAGTGAAAAAGATAAATATACTTATACATTTTTTTAAAATATTAAAAAATTTAAAATCTAATCATCCTAAAATATTAAATCATTTTAAATTAGTTAAAATGAAAAAAAAACATGAATTTGTAAAATAATCCAAAAATGATTATATATCACACATTTAAAACATGTTTTTTTTAAATAAAAAAAAGTAAAATGTAACTTTTTTTTATTTCTAAAATGAAAAATATGTTTTTTTATTTGGTTAGAATATCATTATAAAATTTGAAATTTGAAATTTAAACAAAATTGTTTATATTTTGAAAAAAAAAAGTTGAGTTGATAGTTGGGATTATTAAAAGAAGAACAAGTATAGTTCAGATTATTTATAGAATACGCTTAGTTTCTATTTAAACTTGACCAGTTATAACATGTAACAACTGGTCATGGACTATTATTGGTGGACGGTCCATATAGTTGGGATTGTACAAAAATAATCAATAATTAGGATTATTGTTAGCGGATCGACAATAGTTGAGATTATTAATTTCAGTTTTTCATTTTATATATTATCAAATGTAACTCTTGAAATCATGTATAAATGTAACTCACACATTTAGAAATGTAAACCGCACATATGAAAATGTAATCTCATGTTTTGTAAAATGTAAATAAAAATAAACAAACTCAATGCCTTAAAAAACACAAAAAAGTATTGGGTTATACTTTTTTCTTTTTTAAATAAGGGTTACTCAATTAGATCGGGCCTAAGTATATTTTGTTTTCTTGTTTCCTAAATAATTATAAATAATTATAATATTTATAATTAATATATTATATACTTAATATCTACATATATTATATACTTAATAGTTAATATCTACTTCATCACTAATTAGAAGTGTTGCATATAAAAAAATTCAAGTAAATTTATTTGAAATATGAGGTACAATTGAGAATAAATTAAAACATGAATTACATTTCTAATTTCTAATAAATTATAAATTTATAATCAATCGGAAACTGCCCCCTCTTTGGTTGTTGTTTCCATAAAGTGTTCAGTGGGGGTGATGCTAAGTTCTTGAGTTCTTGAGTTCGGCCTTCAACCAATCGTGGTAGCAAACAAGCGTCTCAAGAGAGTTTGCGCTCAATCTAGTTCTATAATTTGTTAAGACGTTGCCGGCCGCACTAAATTTTTGTTCCACGGCAACTGTATAAATCGACATTGATAGCATTTGCTTAGCCATCTTTGATAAAATTGGGAACATCCTTTCTTTTTCCCTCCTTTTAAATATTATCAAATGTAACTCCTGAAATCGTGTATAAATGTAACTCACACATATAGAAATGTAAACCGCACATATGAAAATGTAATCTCATGTTTTGTCAAATGTAAATAAAAATAACCAAACTCAATGCCTTAAAAAACCACTAAAAACGTATAAATGAGATAAAAATATATTATATTAAGTGTATGAACGTGAAAAAATATATTACAAAAAAAATTCCCAATAAAAATACATCAAATTAAAAAAAATCGAAAATAACTAGAGTTATTACGACTAAAGTTACTATCATAGTCACTACATTTAAGAGATCGTATTTTTATAAAGAGAAAACGATCAAATAAGACTTTCTACTGTTATGAAATCGTCACATATGGCCATGTACTCAATAAAGTGTCACATAAATGTGTCTACTTGTAAAAAACAATCAAATAAGTCCTAACGACCTATTTACAACCTCCTAATCCCGATTGAGTGTTCTTGAAACCATCTTTTTTATAATAGAGTATACGGCACACGTCGAATATTTACCTAAGATTGGTTGAAATGTAAGTCAAAAAAATTAACACTTAAGCTAAAATCAGGATTAAGAGGTTGTCAACGGGTCATTAGGACTCATCCGATTGTTTTTCATAAGTAGATATATTTATATGACACTTTATTGTGTACATGGCCTTATGTGAGGATTTCATAATAGTAGAAGGCCTTATTTGACCTTTTTTCTCTTTTATAAATAACCTTTACTTTATTCATAAATATGTGATTAATTCTTTGGTGTATGTACTCGTGTTTCACTTTATTATATGTCATCTATATAGACTTACAATTAATATTTGTGCAAATGTGTAAAAGTTGCGAAGGTTTTTGCGGGACAAGGGAGTATTGTAAACATTGTTTTCAGCTTATTAACTCGACAATGAGTTTTTTATTCAAACGCTTAACTTTTGATTCCACGTATTTAATTGTGTAATATCGGAGTAAACAAATTAGTAAGATTGAAGTTGTTTTCTGTTTTACTTTCCTAAAGAAGGTTACATGTTAGCCACAACACCTTTTAATTTATTTAATTCTTAGAATTATTTTATTATATAAATAAAGATATCTCTTTAAACTCTATGGAGTAATTTTTAACATTTCCTAACCGTTAAGTTTTAAATTTTGATTAGTCCAGCTGGTAACAAAATCAACATAGGTCTTACAGGGATCCCATCAGGAAGACCAAACATGATTGTATTGTGTAGCATGTCTTTAGTGTGGTACTCGTAAAAATGGTATTTCCAGTGCGAATGTGCGAAGATGCACATATAATTCTTTATCTTTCACTTTTATGCTTTGAATCGTGAACATTTCGTGTCGGCAAAATATTTGTTAAGTTATTTATAAAATTGGCATTAGATATTAATCTTTTTGTCTCAATTTGATAGTCCTATACTTTTTGGGTTTTAAATATTAAGAAAGTGTGAATGTGTGATAGAATGACTCATACAACATTATTTTGTCATATCGTTCCCTCCTTTATCTTTACTTTTATTTCCTTATCAAAAGAGAACACAATCCTTTCTTTTGCGACAATCTAAATAACAAATATATGATCATCATTTGGAGAAGGAATGCCTTCTCGTAAGATGTCACATACTTGATTAAATTAAACCTATTATAGCTTGTTTTTTTACAATTAACCCTATTATAGCTTATGAATCAATTACGGTTGATAAAATTAAGGCTAATATTAATATTTTGGAAATTAACAACCCTCTTTAAAACCACAAATAAATATAGCATTTTTCTTTGTAATTTTACTAAAACCCGGTGCATAGGTAATTTTAAGTATATTATGTTCCTTTATTTGGGGTTACTAGCAAATAATTTATTTATTTATTTTTTTGAAAAAAACTAGCATATAATTTAGAAAAAATTGATAGTAATAATCGCAAATATTGGTTGTCCGCTCACAATAAATTGATAGAAAATTGATACTACGGGTATTATATTTCTGAATAATCCCAACTTTATGGACCTTCCGCCAATAATGATCCGTCGTGAGCGGCTATAAATAAATTCATATAGTTTCTAAAGTGGATGGAAAGAGATATAACAAGTAATCCCTAAAAATAATCCT